GAGGTCTACCAATAAAGGATCCATTTAGTAAAAAGAATAACGATGAAAACGGGAGCTAACATTTAGGAAGTGCTCACCAGGGTCAAGCACAACCCCGTGAGGCAAGTACCATCACCTCTACTTTTTCAGTTTGGGAAACAGAACCACGCAGAGGCCACTGGCTTGCCCCCGCTTCACAGCTGGGAAGGGTGGAGACAGGTTTGAAGCCGGGTCTCTACAAGTCCAGAGCCCACGCACTGGGCCCCTAAACAGAAGTCGTCTAGGTCTTGTTCCTCTACGCGGGCTGACCGTGCGTCCCTGTTTGTGCTGCTTGTTGCGGCACAGCTGTTAGCAGCGCCTCCTTTCACTCGCAGCAGCATCCTGGTTTGGGTGATACACGTTAGGGAAGCTAGGATGGACGGAACCAGGATTATCACAGCAAGATGCTGATGGTCAGAGTCTGGAAAACCCAGCCCACAGCTCCCCTCACTGTCCCAGAGTTCTGCGTACCAGTGCTCCTCGTCCCAGGGCAGGTCTGCATTATGTTGGTGACATGGCCCTTACTGACCCTGGATACTTGGGCACTTTGCAAGGAAGTCTTTTGAGACTTCCATATCCCAAAGTTCTTTGTTTCTATTTGGACAGAGAGCTCAGCTTTCTCTCTGCTCCCACCTCCCTACATGTACTTACCAGGGTCTTGTCCCTGTTTTCATGCGTTAGCCTGACTCGGAAAGCAGCCGCTGTGGTCCCCGGTGTTCCAGGTTAGGGCTGCTATGCCCTGAGTGTTTTCTCCAGCGGTGGGTGCCGAAGCTTAGGGCTTTTTAAACCTTTTTGTCCACACTTGCAGGTAAGTCCTGGAAGCAGAGGCCTAGGTGCTTCACTCGGACTGGGCCGGAGAGTGTGCAGATCGACAGAATGACACTAGGTGCCATCCGGGTAGGCACTGGGGAGTCAGAATTGAATGAGACACAGTCCTTTCTTCAAATTGGTCATAGGCCAGGGTGAGGGCAGACTCTGCAACAAAATCAGCCTTACAGTTAATAAGTAAAGTTGTGGACACAAAGTACAACTCAAGCACAAAAGAGGAAACGAATAGAGAAGGTACATGGGTCAACTATTGTCAACAATGCTGTATAACAAATGACTCCATAATTCAATAGCTTACTGTTATGATCATTTATTTCTGGCTCATGTGTCTGTACACTGACTGGAGCAGCCCTGCCAGTTTCAGCTGGGCCTGGTTAGACTGGCTCCTGGGCATGGGTTAGTTAGGCTGCGGTCTGCCTTGTCTTTCATTCTCCTGGAACCACAGGGCTATGTTGGCGAATATATGCTCTTGGCAGTGGCAGAAGCGTGAGTGAGTAGGCTCTGCCACCAGCCCATGCCAAAGCTGTGCTCCAGGTCTTGTCTCCAAATATCTCAGTGGCCGAAGCAACTCACAGAGCCCATCCCAAGAGCAAAGGGGCCTGGAGGTATACTACTCCCAAAGTAGGAAGGCAGGTAAGTAAATATTTGCCAAGCAAGAATCCAAACCTCACAAAAGACTTCACAGAGGAGGTGTCATATGACCTAGGTCTTGAAGGAGGAGTCGGATTTTTCCAGGTGAAGATGGGACAAGGCACTGCTGTCTAAGGGATGAAATGTGTGCCTGGAGGCGGTGGGGGGGGGGGAGTGTCTGTCAAGGTAGTAGTGGTGGACTGGTCTTAGAGGCTCCCTGAGCCGTAAATTGGGCATGTCCTTTCTTTGGACACATTACTATCCAGGCCCCCCCACCCCAGTCATTTTCTTTATTTGCAGTTTCTAAGACTTCAATTTTGCGCCACCAAATACAAGTTGAAGACTCGGTTTTTAGCCAGGAGTCATACTGGAAAGTGTCAGTGCTTATCTCAACACTGGGGATTTATGCCAGTTTCTCTGGGCACAAACCAGGCAATTTTATAGCCCACCAACCCTCATGTCTGAGTTGAGGTCTCCATCTTTCTTCCCCCGTCCCACCCTGGCTGTGACCACCACAGCCCTTCTTGAATAGACTTCCTGGGGACAACCGTCAAGGCAGATATGAGGTGAATCAAAATAAGGAACTTAGGAATGGAGGACTGGGAAACCCAGTCTAAAAAGACTGGCAGTGATCAGGGGACCCATGCATATGCAGAACTGGGGTCAAACAATGGTGGGAAGGATGGTTGCAGGACAGGATGCAAGTAGTACAAACCTCGACAATGTAAAAAAAAGAACTCACCACATTTGGGAGGGGGGAGGGGATGGGAAGTGGGTGAGCTCATTTCCTTATCCTAAATCGCAGGCTGTCAAGAGCTGCCATCTACAGTTGAAACATATGTAAAGAATGAATTCAGCCTCTGGATATTTTTCTTTCCTTTTAATCATTTTTAGTTCGGCAATTTCTTTAGTTACATTTACGCTGCTGCTTCTTTTTCTTTTTCTTTCTGTTAAAGACTTTTCCCAAAAGAGCATGTACTGTGTGAGCCCTTTTTGTAAAAAAATTTCATCCATCTATCTGCCCCTTTCTCTGAATAGGTGTGTAGACACATGTTTCCATCGAAGTTTCTGGGGGAGCTGATTTTCCCGACCACTTGAAAATTTTCTTTTTCCTGCTCTTCGGTGTTACTTGAATTCCTTACAATGTGTATGCACTATTATTAGAAAAGCAAAGCTTTCTATAAAAATATATATGTTATATATATATTTACTTCTGGAAAAGAGAAAATCCGCATTCGCCTCTCATGCTCCCTCCCCAAGCTGCAGGACCCGACGGGTCGGGACTGGTCCCGCAGGTCCC